GTCCTATAATTAACCCGTTAAGGCAAGTGGTCCATGACTTGTAAAGAGATAGGGAACCCATTGTTTATTATCACGAAAATCAAAACATGTGTGTTTTTGTCTTCTGAGGCATATACTCTGAGTAATGATAAAGGGTGCATCATGTTTATAAAAGATTGGATGTGACCAAATCACTTCCCATATCCTTTTAATTAAAACTTAAAAATAAGAAAAAAAAATGACTAAGTCAGTTTGATCAAATGGGATATGTATAATTATCTTATTCTTCTTTTGTTTTCAATACCAAACATATATATATATATATATATATATATATTGGGCTTGTTGTTTCTATATTTCTTGTACCTTAAGTTTTATGACCCCTCCCCATTGCTTAATAGTTTGGAGAATTCATGATTGGACTATTTAAGACTAGTTGAAACAGGAAAGATTTCCATATAATAAAAGAATGATTATTTTTATAATCAATGCTTCACAAGTGAATGAAGTTCATCTTCCTCTAGCCTTTTGCTAAATATCATACAAATTTTATGAGTTGAAAATGTATTAAACTGCTTGTTTGGGGCCATYTATCTACAAAACAGTGGGCTGTTGTATCCTGGAGACTGATCTTCTACAACCTTTTTGAGTATTACATCCACAAAGGTGATTGCAATTTTAAGTTCTAGTTCAATTATCTTTAATTCTTTATCATGTGATAAATTTGCTCTAACTTTTTATCAACACCAACCTCACAGAGCACATCTCATCATGTATTAGGAATGTCTGTCTTCCATAGTTTTATGTTATTATTCATCGGATATATTGTACCTGTGAGATTGGTGTGAGGTGCACTCAATTCTAAATCCCCACCTTCTCTGTTTCTTCGGCTCGAAAAGTAGAGCAGAAGATGATGGCACATGGGATTGCAGTTTTGGGGGAAAAAGAAGCACAGTAAATGCTTTCTAATTAGAACTGTGCGCCCGGAACAGGAACTGTTGAATTGGTATATTTTTTATCTTGATTGATGTCTGCTGTTTTGTGCAGTCTCGCCGTGCTCTAGACCCGAGGAAAATGCTGGCCTATGGGCTGTACTGCTGAACCCAGAAGCTATCCATCCCTAATATCCTCGATTCCCAAATCCTAACTGAACTTCTCCCGAAGAAGAAGGACGACGTCAACACGTGAAAGGTGACAACCTCTGATCATTTCGTACCGTCGAAACTCCGTCCGATTGTAATCTGAATCCAAGCTCCACAGGGCTTACGTTGATGTCAAATGAGAATATACCCCACCACTAATTCTGATTGGATATCAATCTGAGCTCGTCACGTTTTTTTGGGTAATGAGCCCGTCTCGTAGAGTTCAATCGCCCGTCGGCCGTTTGACGTCACACAACTCCGCTCCAAACTACTACTTAACAATGCCAATAATGAATGAATGATAGCGATACGAGTTTGGGTTTCTTCGTACCGTTATCAGGACTGTCTGGTAGAGTGATACGAATATCGGGATTCGGGGTAACGTATACTATACGATTTCGACCGTTAGTTAGCGATATTTTTTAGCCCAAAAATTCTTATCCTGGGCTGAACCGCCATTCACCCTTTTTTTGTTGTCACCGCCCGTCACGGTAGGGTGCAAATGCATGATCTGATTTGGTCTTATTTGGTCGAATTCGTATCGCTTCAGTTCGAATTTTCGGATCACCCCTATTCGATTCAATATATATTATATATTTATAAATATAAATATATATAATACTTATTTATTTAGAAAATATATTTTTAATATTATATTTATAAATTTGTTATATTATTTATTTTTATAAAAAATATGTATATTTATAATGAAAATAATTAAAAAACATTTGTATTTTTTGTTTTTATTTTATCTAAATTAGTATATTTTATTTTTCTTTTAAGAATTTATTAATTTTAAAGAAAACATATCGGATCAGATCAAATCCGAAGATCTGACTTACCGATAGGATTTGAATTCAAATCAAGTCCTATCATATCCGATTGGATCCAACATAAACAATGTTGGATTGGAATTCGAATATACCCAGATTCGAATCTGATCTGATCCATTTGCATCCCTATGCCATAGTTCACAAATATATCTGTAAGGACTAAAGGGACTTTTTACGGGGTTGTCAACGAGTCGAGTGCAAGTACAACCAAAACCGACCTAACAAGGAATGCTAAGAACCCACAACCAAATCAGACTCGATAAGGTCTGTATTTTTAGACCTAGAACTGAACTAATCGGTTTTTGGGACAATTGGGTATGACCCGATGGATCCGATTATAATATATATAATTAATTAATTAACCATATATTGAATATAAATCATACATTTAATATATGTAAATCAGTCGGGTCAGAATCAGATTGGGACTAGGTGGAACCCATTTCAAACCAATAAGAACCATAACTATATCAGGAACTAGAACCAACCCAAGCGGTTTGGGTCCATTAGGTTTGTCAGATCCAACCTGACCCATTGATAGCCCTAGACATTCTTGGATCCAGGGGTGGAAGACCCAACTCATAGAAGATTCAAAATCATTTACTATGTTTCACTAGATCTAGGGATGGTAATTTTCCCTATCCTCATCGGGTACACATGCAACTTCCCCTACCCCATTGGGGTAGGGTTGTCAATAATTCAGGTTAAACCCTATAAATCTAATGGACCCAAACCAATTTGGTTGGTTTTGGTTCCAAGAATTAGAAATGATGGGTTGATTTCGGTTCTTGATATATTGTTCCAATTCTTATTGGTTTGGAATCAGTTCCATCCATTCTCAAATTGATTCAGACCAATGCGACATATATATGCATGTATAATATATTAAATAAATTACTATTATATATAATATTTTTAGTAGGTTTATTATAATCGAGTCCATCGGGTCAGACCAAATTGTCCCAAGAACCAATCAGTTCAGTTCTGGGTCTAAAACTATTGACCCTATCATGGTCCAATTTGGTTTTGGGTTCTTGGTATTTATTGTCGGCTCAATTATGTTCTACCTGGAGCTAACCCGTTGACAACCCTATCTTGGGTGGGGGATAAAATTGCCATGACGGGGATGGGATTGACCAAACCGTGGGGCACATTTTGTAACCAAACCGGTAGTACCGATTTTTGGAAAACCAATAACCAAAAACTATCGATTAACCGGTTGACCGATTCGATTAATCCTCAGTTCAGTTCATCGGTATTTTGGTTTTTTAATTTTTACAATATATATAAATATATAATAAAAGATTATATAATATTATATTTTAAATAATAAATAATATATATATATATATATACATTTATATATATAATACATATTTATTAATTTATAATATATAAAAAATATAAAATATATATAATATACATAAATATATATAAAAACATATGTATACTAGTTGGTTCGGTTAACCGCCGATTTTCTGTATTGATTAACTGAAATCAAATCGGTACCTTCGATTTTCTAAAAACACCGAACTGACCAATTCGATTAACCAATTTTTCGATTCAATTTCGATCAGTTTTTCGATTTTTTTCTCACCCCTAACCAGTACGGCATCGCAAACATGATTAGGGATGAAGGGTCATTTTTACCAGGTCAGGCCGTCAGGAACATGGATTTGTCTCGAAGTCGGGATCAAGGACTGGGAGTATGGTCCCCGCCCCATTGTCCATCCGATTAATCACATTTGCAAGTTGTATTTAATTTGTCCAACCATTAGATCAAAGATAAGATAAAATGAAATTTATCTTTCTATTTCTTGTTTCCTCAATTGGTGCCCCCATCTCAAATACTGAGTCATCGGTAAAATATCACAATAATGAAGGCTAATTATTGTAATGATTAGATGATCACACTCTCATAGAACAAGCCAATAAGACCGTGTCGTGCTCATCACTCATTGGCTTTTGCTGTATGAAGTATGAACTCCCTGAGAGGGAGAGGCCCTTATCATGCAGAAAGAAGGAGGAAAGGAAAGGTTTGCACTCAAATTCTTGGAAAGATGGAGTACGTATGGTAGGGAACCCACTAACACTTTGATGAAAAGAGACAACTGGCCCATGGCAGGGCACCCTGGACTCTCCACTTTCTAAATTACCCCTTGCAAGAAGTAATTCCTATTCCCTGATAAGTCATAAAGCCTCCTATTGGATTTCCATCAACCAACCGGGCCCATCTTATTAAAACTGTCTGATCAATGCAAACTTTCCTTTCATGTAATCTATGCACCTAATTTACTTTCATTGCATGTATGCTCCATTCATAGTAAAATAAGCTCATAACATCTCTATATTTATAAAATTGCATATATAATACCTGCAAAATATAAGTTTTAGATAATAATGTAAATAATATTTAACTTTAAATTAAAAAAATAAAAAATAAACAAGTAATTAATCATTTTCAATCCATCTTTTTACAACACCAAAATAGAAGTATAGACAAACTATTGTTATTTTGTTATATGTTTCTTGCGGTACTACGGCTACTGCCTGCTAGTACCTAGGTATGGGAAATGAAGAAGCTGAGGGAATACTCTACGGTTCGACCTTGATTGGATGAAGGCTGAAGAGCGGATTTCGTGAGGTTGAAAAGCGTGCAAGGTAATTCAGGATCCCAATGGGCAGGCAGTGTGGAACTGGAAGGCGGAAGCTAGCTACGAATTGGCGTCTTACATGTCAGCTTTCAGCAATTTCTATTTTATTTTTTATTTAATTTTAGTCTTGGCCTGGCCATAGTGTTGACCTTACAGCCAACTTACAGTCACAGCCACCACCTAACAAGCTAGCAGCCCTCCCAAACCGGCCCTAAATAGCTAAAACTCTTTCACTTCTTTTTCTTTATTTTCCTTCCTCTTCCAACCAAAAAGCGACCAACGAAGCACGTGACATAAGACGGGTAAGAACCGTCCGGTAGAACGGCCAGTCAAAACCCACAAAAACCCTAACTACTCTCTCTCTCTCTCTTAATCTGCCGTGGGAAGTCAAGTCCCAACTCCCAACACTAACAACCATGCAATCATCCATGGACCTCGGATTTATCAGAACCCTCAAAGTTCTCTAACTTTTCACCTCCCTGCGACTCTGCAATTCTCTGTCTTTCCTTTTGCTCCCTCCCTACATCATCTCACCTAGGTAACTCATGATGGATCTGATTCTATTCTCTTTTTCTCTGTAGAGAGAGAGAAAGTCTTCCTGTAGTTCAAAATCTTCTTACATAGCCTGAAACTAGAAAGCTCCCTTTTTTTCTTCAGTTTTTTTTTTAATTCTTCTCTTTTCTTGAAGCACTCGCAGAGACGAATTGAGGAGGAGGAGGAGGGTTAAATGACTACCCCAGGGAGTAATCGTCTGCAGCAGATGCTGCAGTCCGCGGTGCAATCCGTTCAATGGACTTACAGTCTCTTCTGGAAAATCTGCCCACAACAAGGGTAACTCAATTACTGAATAGAATGAGGAAAAAAAAACTCAATTATACATGTATTGTAAGGAACCTTTGGTTTGCCTTGCTTCGTTATCGGACTTGTATATGAGTTTTACGTTGTAACAATCTACTGTTCAGGATCTTAGTTTGGGGAGATGGGTATTACAATGGGCCGATAAAGACGAGGAAAACGGTGCAACCAATGGAGGTGAGCGCCGAGGAGGCATCACTTCAAAGGAGTCAACAGCTTAGGGAACTCTACGAGTCATTGTCAGCCGGAGAAACCAATCAGCCGGCTCGCCGGCCTTGTGCTGCATTGTCGCCGGAGGACTTGACAGAGACTGAGTGGTTCTACCTTATGTGCGTTTCCTTCTCTTTCTCACCTGGGGTTGGGTAAGTTTAACCAACTTTACCTTTTTATCTCCAGACCAGAAATTAATTATATGGTTTTGTTATTATTTGGTTCTCTCCCTCTCTCCCATACAGAGACAGAAAGGCTTTATTAGGTGTCTGAATTCSGTTTCTTTCTTATGATACAGTCAGACAATACCAACTAGTCATCTCTCTCTCTCTCTCTGAATTTTAAGAAATTTCCTTGGGCTATGTTTGAAAAGTCAATTCAAGCATTTCCGATTCTGAGATTCCAGTGTACACAATACATGTCTACATGTATATTGTACATACAATGGATCTATCCAGATTTGGGAGAGAATCCTTTGTCAGTATATATTACTTTAAAAAAAAGAACCATTTGAGGATCAATTCTTCAAAATTTTAACAAGAGTTGCACATCGGTTGATAGTTTCCATTACTGGTTGAAGTTGATGGTAGCGCTCACAGGGAAGGTGAGCAATTTGATGGGTTTCATTCTTTCTGCTAGAGCTTATATCATATTGTTCAATGTTACTGTAAGAACTGAATGAAGGCCCGCCCCTTGAACTTGTTAGTTTTCAAGTAGGGAAGTATTTATGAGGGAATAGATTCTTGAGACTGTCAAAGGTTTAAGGAGAATTGAATTGGTGTCACTCTATAGCACTTCGCTCACTAAATTCCACTGAAATGGAAGCTTCTCCATCTACTAATGTTGATACCTTCCTAATATGGTCCGTTCTAACGATATTAATTCCTATTAGTGACTACATTACTCTCTCTCTCTCTCTCTCTCTCTCTCTCTCTGAGAAAAGGAAGCCTATTCAGTTACTGCAGGTAGTATAGTCCAAACTCCTAAAAAATTTTAGCTGTTGAATCTCATACCGAGTTGGGAATTATTAAATGTTACAATCTTAGACAACAGTTTTCTATATATGAAGTTATAAATGCACGCATACATATATTTAATAACATCCCTATGTTTATATGGAATCTTATGTGGAATAACATTGATCTAACAGAGTTTGGGTTGTAGGTTACCAGGAAAGGCATTTGCACGACGGCATCATGTGTGGCTCACCGGTGCCAACGAGGTCGATAGCAAAACGTTTTCTAGGGCTATTCTTGCCAAGGTAACCTCCATTTTCTCTATTATATATAATTGACAACAGTTGAACATGGTCTGAGAAAATCTCCAAGAACTATCAATTTTCTCTTATAATTTCTTCTTAATTTCCAGTTTTCCAGTTAGCTAATTATCTTCCTTTTGGTTTTTTCTTTTTTCCTATATCTTGAATGCGATTTCCATGGCATTGCACCAGAGCGCTCGGGTTCAGGTGATTTTGAATACTTCCAATTCAAGAGAATGATTACGTAGTGTTTCGAGCTATTTTTCAGTTTGAATATTAAAACGTGTCCTTCAATGTTACAGACTGTTCTATGCATTCCTCTCATGGACGGAGTTGTCGAACTGGGTTTTACTGAAAGGGTGAGATAATTGATTTATCAATTCTACAGTGTTGATTAACGATCGTTAAGCATAAATTAATACCTTCTGAAGTCTGATTAAATGAGCACCTATATAATAAGTGAAAAATGTTGAATCAGTCACTTGAAAATTTCTGATATTAGTGGGTCTATCAGACGAATAACAATCGGTATCTAACTGTCAATGCAGGTACAAGAGGACCTTGGACTKATCCAACAGGTCAAAAGCTTCTTCGTTGAACACAACCACAACCCAAAACCAGCTCTCTCCGAGCACTCGACCTCTAACCCAGCTAACTCCTCAGAGCGGTCTCGGTTCAACTCTCCTTCCCTTCCTGTCATGTATTCGACCGTAGACCCGCCTGTGAAAATGAACCAAGATAACGAGGAAGAAGAAGAAGAAGAAGAAGAAGAAGAAGAAGAAGAAGAAGACGATGAGGACGACGACGAAGTTGAGTCAGACTCCGAAGCCCAAACGGGACCTACCAGTCACCGGAATGCTGCGCAAGAACCTCTACGCATATGCGAACCGACCAGTCAGGGTGCAACAACAGCTGAAGCGGCAGCTGAGCCCAGCGAACTTATGCAACTAGAGATGTCGGAGGACATTCGTATTGGCTCGCCAGATGATGGGTCTAACAACCTGGACTCGGACCTACACATGCTTGGGGTGGGCCACTCTGGAATGCAAACTGTGCAATCCGATCATCAACGCCAAGCGGATTCCTACCGGTCCGAGTCGGCTCGTAGGTGGCCACCACAGTCGCAGGGCCAGTTTAGCAACGGTCTTCAACCACCATCCTTGGGTACGTTAGTTGTAGACTAGTAGTTGGCGAATGGCGAGTTCCCCAGCGGAGTGCGCCAGTTGTTGATTTCTTTGTTTATTGGAAACCATAGAAGTATGGGTTCAACTAACCATAAAAGTATGGGTTCAACTACTATGATATCCGAAAAACAACCCATACTCGTCATTGATTCTTTTATTTAGTGGGCCCCCATTTACACTAGAGATATCCCCTAGGCTAGTCCTTCCGAATTAACCCAGCCCGTTCTCATTGGCGACCGTTCTACCTGCAGGCTGCAGCAGTGGCATTAACTATAAGAACTATCATATTGTCTTCTAGCGGCTTTTGCCGCATCATTGTGATCCACGTGTACGGTTGTCGTTTTCTACCCTATCGTAACTTGATCTATTGATGAAGACAAGACCCTGATGCGGTGGTTTATATGGGTGGCCACTGCAGGGTACTTTAGGAATCAAGAGTTTAAAACCACGTGTGGTAAAAGTCAAAACCCTTGTAAAACGTGTCCGACCCAATCGGATTGCTTGTAATTTTATGAGTAGGCATAACTAACCCTAAATGTATTCTTTAATGACATTTAAGTCCGAATCTCACGTCTCCCTCTCTCTGTTTTGTTGGTTTTTTTCTTGAGCAGCCCCTCAGATGGAAGAGTTGGAACAAGAAGACAGTCACTACTCCCAAACGGTCTCCACAATTCTCCAGCGGAATTCCAGCCGGTGGCCGGAAATTTCGTCGGCCGTCCACGCCGGATGCTCGGCACAATCCGCCTTTTCGAAGTGGAACAGCCGGAACGATCATCTCCTCCTCCATCTCCCTCTAGAAGGCACGTCGCAGTGGCTCCTCAAGTACATTCTCTTCACCGTGCCCTTCCTGCATAACAAGTATCGCGACGAGAACTCGCCAAAATCCAGAGATGGCGACACCGGGGCACGGTTCCGTAAGGGCACACCACAGGACGAGCTGAGCGCGAACCATGTCTTAGCAGAACGGCGGCGACGCGAGAAGCTCAATGAACGGTTCATAATATTGAGATCGCTGGTCCCGTTCGTCACCAAGATGGATAAGGCGTCCATCCTGGGTGACACCATTGAGTACGTCAAACAGCTACGGAGAAGAATTCAGGATCTCGAGACACGAAATCGGCAGATGGAGGAGAATGAGCGACGGTCCAGAGGTGGTGGGGAATCCCAGAAGACTAGCAGCTCGAAAGAGCAGCGGAGTGGGCCTGGGAACAGCGGGATCACTGTACAGGAGCGGACACGGGGACTTGCCGCCGGTTCGGATAGGAGGAAGCTGAGAATAGTAGAAGGAACGGGCGGTGCGAAGGCTAAGGTGGTGGACGCGCTATCGATTGTAGGGAACACAGTTCAGGTATCGATCATAGAGAGCGATGCACTGCTGGAGTTGCAGTGCCCTTACAGGGAAGGACTTCTACTGGATATAATGCAGATGCTCCGGGAGCTCCGGTTTGAGATCACCGCCGTCCAGTCTTCATCTACCAACGGCATTTTCAACGCGGAGCTACGGGCTAAGGTACGAATTACTCCGTTCCATAGTGGGCCACCCCCACCCCAACCCGACTCATCCAAGCAAAGTATGAAACCTTTCATTTGAGGGTCTAGGTTTGGGTTGGGTTGGGCTAGAGACTAGAGACTAGAGTGGGGTAGAAAAACATCATTATATCCAATTAATACGAGGCTGAGGCCCATCTGAATCTGGCATCCGTAGTGAAAGGACAACACACAACTAACTGTATACTATTTGTGGGGATGCTTCTTTTAAAACCAGTGCTTTATTCATCCCCATCCAATTTCAAGTTTTCAACTTTTGGGGTTGGAATTTGGATGTGGATTGATTATAGGACGACCACCGATCATGACCGTAGATTGATTGGCTGGACCCTACCCAATCAATGGTACGTAAAATATTTATTAACATTTTTAATTTTCTCTTCTAATTTGCCTTCCTCTCTTCTTCTTTTTTTCAGGTGAAGGAGAATGTTAATGGAAAGAAACCAAGTATTGTGGAGGTGAAAAGAGCAATACACCAAATCATAAATCAATACTGACCTTGTGTGTTTGCAGAAGTAGGATTATGTAACTAAGATAAGAGAATGAACCGTGGCTTTCCGCTGACTAACTACTGATTCTCTCTGTGGTACTGCAACAATGTAGTTGTCAGATCCATGATGTCAAAGTGTAGTTGAAACTTGAAACTTGAAATGCCAAAATGTGCGCATGTATTATGTAATATGAAAGCAAAAGCAATTATATTGTTTTATTTATTTATTTATTTTTTTTGACCATTTGTGAACGAGGCTCCATTCTGTCAACTTCTGATGATAGTGTCGGAACTGGATTACTGGAGAGACATCTCATCTCGTACATGAGTTAAAATCAGCTCCCCACAAGAGCACCCCCCAAAACGTTTCATAGCAAATCTCCGCCTCCTATTCAAAATATTTTTCAATGATAATATCAAAAATGATGACGTCATCGGAAAATGTTTCCGTTGTGGGGCTGATTTGATTTGGAAGAATGAATTTATTATAAAGTTCAGGCAATCCCCTGCCCCCCCGTTAGCTTTCTAATTGACGAAGAGCCCCTTTGTCTGAACTTTGCAGCGTGAACTACGCTACACAGCTAAGGACCGGTTTTTCTACTGTAGTACCAGTATATGATTCGTCAATTGCTAATAAAAGAGCCAGAAAGCATTTATTAAATACATTGAGAAACTTCAAAAGCTTTAACTTTTTAAGTATAAAAAAAAAAATATGGCATTTATACCTAAAATGGACCACTACATTGCCTCTTGATTTGAATTTTTTATACAAGCATTGCCTTACAAAATAGTTGTGGATGTGCACATTGTTTAACCAGTGTTTTGTCAACCCAAACGGGGAATAGATCCGGAATAATATGTTTGGTGGTTCAACCTTGTATAGAGGTGCAATTTGGGCGGGCCCATAATTTTACAAGGGCCAGGCTTGGATTTTCAGTCATTGGTCTGGGTATAGGCCCAAAGTTTCAGGCTTTTTTTTTAATTAAGTTAGGCCCAGGTCTAGCCTTTAGATAGTCCAAGTTCAATTTGAGATTTTCCCAACCTGAACTCAACCCTACTATATACATTCAAACATACGTCTATAGATTTACATATACACACATATACGATATATTTATACAAATACTTACTTTCATACATAGCTAAGGCCAGGCCCAAACCCAATCTGAATGCATCAAATTTCAAATCAGGTTAGGCCCAGATTGGAAAGATTAGACTTGACCTTGGGCTTGATTCAGGACCAGGAGGTGTTAAAGCATTAAAGGATATACTTAATTATCTTAAAAATATGTAAAAAAAAAATATAATGATATTATTAATAAGAGTGTGCTCTTCACTCTCTAATTTGTATTTCTTCAATTTAATTTCTTTTGATATTAAGGCTGTGTTTAGTTGCAATGCAAATAAATTTATATTTATGCAAAACTATGATAGTGCAAATGATTTGAATGTTAATTTTGACCTATTTTTGTTTCAAACTTTAGCTTATTTTRTTTGATAAAACAAATGAAGAAAATTAAGACATAAAGCAAAATAAAGTAAAATCCAAAACAAAATTAAACGAGAGTTTGTATTTTTTTCATTTGCATTCTCATGCATTTGTACTAGTACAAATAAAATTTCACTGCAACCAAACACAACCTAAGACTCAATTTGGGAAGAGCACAAATACAAATATGAATAGTACAAATACATACAAAATAATATGAAATACAAGGTTTTGTACTCTACATATTTGTATTTGTACGCTTTCCAAACTAAGCCTAAGATTTAATTTGGGAAGTGTGAATACAAGATTTAGAAATACTATATACGAGGTTTTGCACTGAATAAGGGGGTGTTCTACAACATGAATGTTTTTGTATTCATTTTGGAACCACCACATCAACAAAAAAACAAAATTATGTAATTGAACTCTGTTTTTGTTTTCAAAGGAAAAAAAAAAATAAAACAAATTGGTTTTGTTTCAAAAAAAAATAACAATTAATACATGTTTTTCAAATCAACAAAATATTGGTTTTTAAAACAAAAACAAAGTTTCTAGTATAGAAATTATACAATTTATGGAACATGATGTTGAATAATCAAATCAAAACATATTTTTTAAACTAGATTCAAGATCATTTTTATTTCAATTTCAAAAACAAAAAACACATACACAACTATGAACATGTTTTTTGTATTTTTGTTTTAATAAACAATCTGTTTTCAAACAAAATGGTTTTGATTTATTGTTGGAACCAAGGTTCAAAGTATCGATACGCCCAATATGTCGGTAGGGGCGTATTGGGTGTTTTGATACTTGTTTTTTTTTTACTTTTTTTTTTATTTTTATTTTTCAAAACTGATTCAGGGGAGCCGGTTTAAGACCCCTCCATCCTCTGAACCGGTCAGACCCCCGATACACCCATTGTAAAGGTGTATCGAAAGGGTCCCAGAACGATACGCATCGACCGATACGTAACGATACTTTGAACCTTAGTTGAAACTGACAATAAAATATATATATATAATTCATGTTATAAAACGCCCCCTAAATTTGTATTTACACATTCTTAACAGAGCCCGTGTGCATATTTGTATTTGCACTCTTCCCAAACTGAGACTACTAGAAAGAAACACAACGAAAACAAACTCTAATTTAATATTGTATAGAAAACCAAAACACTCATAATCTAATAGATTCAACCTTTGTATGTGTATACATACATAGGACAATGATACGTAACAATGAGCCAGTCTGAGCTTGATCAGGCCTTGTCATTCAGGTTTGATCTATCCAAAGTACAACACTTAGATTGGATTTATAGTTTGGGCCAGACTAAGGCATGACAGCTAAGCCCATCCTAACTAACTGGCTAGGCAGTTGGACTACAATTCCCGATAGAGCTGCAGCCTAGGTCTGATTGACCTGGCTTGGGCCTCAGCTCAACCTAAATGTCAAATTTTAATTGGAGCCAAGTTCAAGATGAAGATAAAAGTCCAAGGGTTGGGCTTAGGTTGATAGGTTCACTTAAACCCGCCACAGCCCGCCCAAATTGCACCCCAAATTATCCACCAACGGAGGAAGTGTTATCTTGGATGAATGCGGGAACCAATTGAAATTAATACTTACATCTCACACGTGTAACATGTGTAGCAACCAATGGTGAGATCGGATTTGCTGCTCATAGAGCGCGCCACACACCAATCTCACAGAATATCTTGGTTGTACATGGGGAACATCTCTAGTATTTGTATTTAATATATAGATCCCAATTCACCGATGATTCCTTTACAATTTAAGTGATTGTTCAGATGTATGATTATTGATAAGACCTCCACATTGGGATTTGAAGCTATCTTTGATCAAAATTTATAGGCTCAAACTACATTTTGGGTAGGTATCAGTTGGGAATTGATGTCAATTCACAACCAATATAAATGTATAAAATATGAATTTTTGACCTTTTAAATATTGATAAGTTTGTAGTGGAAATAAAAAATCTACATTAAACCTGTCAGTACTTCTCCACTTCTTTAAATTGAGGAGCACTGAATAATATGGTGTCCCCTTGGATTACGTCCTCCCTAAATTGATCCTTACAATTTACAATACTTGCAGCCAGCCATACATTGGGAAAATCTTCATATGTTTATATCAAAATTGCACGGCTGCAAGCATATACCTGGGCATATAGAATTCTTTGATTCAGCCTTTAGAATTGGGATTTACTCCTCACACCGACCTAACACCCCACCCCACCATTGGGAACGAAATCCGGACTGCAGGCTGTAATGCTGTATTCTTGATTAAGGCTGTAATCCAATTGGACTCAAAATCAGATTTCGATTGTAATTTGCATCCGAATCCGATCCAAACTGCGATTGGATTTGATTCGAATTCGAATCCTAATGGATTTGGATCAAAATTCAAATTTAATCTGATTTAATTTTATTTTTTTTCAAATATTAAAAAAATTATAAATTTAATTATTTTTCTATTTTTATATATAATAAATTAATTTAAATATAAAATTAACTGACCCGACTGGTATATATATTTCTATATGTTTTATGTATATTATATATATATTATAAATTAATAAATATTAATTATATATAAATATATAATGTATTATTTATTATTTAAAATATAATATTTTATATACATTTCTAGTTTTTTATTATTTGTAAATTTAAAAAAACTAGCAAACCGAACCAATAGTTAACTGAATCAGTCAATCAGTTAATCGATGGGCTTCGGTTAGTTTCGATTACCGGTTTTCCAAAAACTAGTAATACCGGTTCGGTTTAAAAAATAGGCCCATAGTTTAGTTAACCAAACCGTGAGCACCCCTAGACCATATGCTCAAACATCTAAGGAGCACTGTATATGGAGAAAATCCTAATTCAAAGGTGAACTGCAATAGGATCTACTCCTCATACCAACCTCATAAGATGTCTCAATCGTACATGGGGAACATTTACTGTATTTGTATATTATTATTAAGACAAATTTCTTAAAGTACCCCTATGGTTTAGGAAATTGACTAACTCTACCAATATTGTTTGCTTAGTCTTAAAGTATACCCATAAGTTTTTTGACAATTGTGTAAAAGCTCCATTGACATTATCTTTCCGTCACACTCCATTCACATGTGACATCACGTGATTGATATATTTTTAAATATTTCTAAAATACCCTTTTATGGTTACGGTGTGTAAATGACAAGGAAAACCTACTTCTAAGTCCACTCCATCTCCTCTCCGCATCTATAAGAGCTCTACATTCAAAGCAATTGAAGTCAAAAATATGCATTAGAGGTTGCTGGTTCCCTTTCAATATCTCACTGTAATTTACATTATTCTTCCTTGAATCAAGTTCTTCACTTTCAAGAGAGTCATCAATGATGATCACCTCTTGTATGCAATGAGAAGCAAAAGCAGCATTCTGATGTTGAAGTTGTGGAGCAAAAACAACTCTCTAAACATTATAAGAAAAAGAAGAACTGAGCTTATTAGTTAACCTCTTTTGTTGACCTTGTATGTTGCCATTACCATCTGACTTGGGTTGTTGTAAGGAAGGACAAACAAAACTTAATTCCTGCATGCATACTATGGCAAATGCCTCATGCTCCTTGGTGTGCCTTGACAGTATAGTGACTTTCTGAAGCCATTTGAAAGAGTAACATCAAAACATTGTGGTGAAGGTTTGGAATCCTGTATCCGGGGGCAATTTTCTCTA